TTTTTCTCTGCAGAAAATACATTCTGCTGGAGAGGTGCTGCCGTTAAGCCTTTCATCCACCAGAGGGCTGCTGTGGTGGTACCAGAACAGAGAGCAGCCCAAGCTGTGGCTAGGGAAGAGAAGAGACTGCATTGCTCACAGCGCCCTGCCCATCGAGCCAGGTCAGGAAGCACAGGATATGGGGAGACTAATGGAATGGGGCACATGGGGGGTCATTGGGGTTCAGAAGGGTTAGTGGGGGGAGGACAGACTGGGGCAGGGCGCTGAATGGGAGCGGTGGTGCAGGCACACGTGGGGACCAGGGTAGATGTGCCTGACTGAATGAGAGAGGCTAGGGGTTAGCCAGGGCCTGCATAGGGGAGGCTCTCTAACAATCCCTCCCCAAACAAACAAAAAAACCCACTGTTCCATACTTTTCCCACCCACACACAATAACCCTCTAAGTTCACACGCAGGTTCCTTCCCAACAATTATTTCCTCTCCCTCAGCTCCTTTGTTACCCTTGACTCTCCCAAGCATTTGCACTGCTTCTGAGGGATACAGGAAATATGTTTCTGTATTCTAATTTAAATGAATTATTACTCAAAGTTCTGTATTAATATGGGTAGTAAATAATCTATTTATCAAAAACATTTCCTGAATCTTTTTTGTTGTCTATACTGTTACAGACATACTTGCTGACAGGTATTGAAATAAATTACCAAATTAATTGAAACTGGTGTGATTATATTGTTTTGACAAATAAAATATGCAGAATTTTAAAATGTCGTGCACAGACTTCCTCCAGGAGTAACAGAGCCAGCGAAGCTACCATTGCTAGCCTTTCCAAAATGGAGGGGAAAGGGTGGAGCGAATGGCCCTGTCCTTTCCATGCTCCTGACTCAGAGAGGTGGGTAGATGTAGAAGGGTGAAGCCATTACATTCTCTTCAAGGGTGACAGAGTGACTGTGCTCAACCTGCTTTTCCCTAAACTCCAAGGATGTTCCAATAAGTCCTGAACATTCCTGCTTTGGGCAATTTGCCTCCTGGAGGTCTTGCAATGCTTGTAACTCCTGATGAGGGTTAATCTTGCTATGCCAATGACTACCTTGTCGGTAAGTAGTTTAGGTCAGGAGATGGAAGGCTCTTGTTGCCAGAATAGGGTGGGATCTGAGGATATTCCGGCTGGAGAGGCCAGAGCAGCTCTTAGGTAGGAATATGACCATTATAAATTATGTATTAGGTGCTGACAATGTGCTCTGCATGGTACAACCATATAGAAAGACATGGGTAACATTTTCAAAGGTACCTATGTGACGTAGGGAGCTTCTGTCCTATTTTCAAAAATGACTTAGTCACTTAGGACGCATCTACACTTGCAAAGTTACAGCACTGGAGTGCCGCTCAGAGAGCACCGAAGGGAAACCGCTGTTGTGTGTTCACACGGACAGCTGCCTGCGCAATAGCGTTCACACTTGCGGCGTTATTTGGAGCGGTGCACTCTGGGCAGCTATCCCACCGAGCACCTCTTTCTCTCTTGTTGCTAAGGCTTGTGGGAAGGTGGAAGAGGTTGCGGGGCAACCTGGGTCCTGTCCCAATGTCCCGTGATGCATTGCTTTGCATCCCAGCAATCCCTCTGCTTCCATCCACATTTGGTGCCATCTTTCAATGGTTTGTGTACTGTGTGCCCTGCCTTTCCTCTTTCTGGCTGCAGGAATGGATCCCCAGCTATTGACCAGTATGCTGCTCGCACTGACCAACACATCACGAGTGGCAGTGGAGCTATTCTTAAATTACAAAGTCAAGAGGAGCGCGACATTTATCTTGCCACACATAGTAGCTACGACACGAGATTGCTTGTGGCATTCACAGAGGTGCTGACCACAGTGGAACACCGCTTTTGGGCTTGGGACTAGCACTGAGTGGTGGGATCACATTGTGATGCATGTCTGGGATGATGAGCCGTGGTTGTAGAACTTTTGGATGAGGAAAGCCACATTCATGGGACTCTGTGATGAGCTTGCCCCAGCCCTACGGCACAAGAATGAGAGCCGCCCTGTTGCTGGAGAAGCACGTGGTGATTGCACTGTGGAAGCTGGCTACTCTAGACAGCTACCGATAGGTTGTTAACCAGTTTGGAGTGGGAAAGTCGACTGTTGGAGTTGTGTTGATGGAAGTGTGCAGGGCCATTAATTGCATCCTGCTCTGAAAGACAATGACTCTGGGCAACGTGTGTGACATTGTGGATGGCTTGCACAAATGGGCTTCCCTTACTGTGGAGGGGCGATCAATGGCATGCACATTCCAATTCTGACACCAGACCACCTAGCCATCCAGTACATTAATCACAAGGGAATTTTCTCAATGGTTCTCCAGGTGCTTGTGGATCACCGTGGATGTTTCATAGACATTAACGCAAGCTGGTCTGGAAAGGTGAATGATACACACGCATCTTTTGGAACACTGGCCTGTTCAAGAAGCTGCAAGCAGAGACTTTCTTCCCTGACCAGAAGATCACCATAGGGAAAGTCGAAATTCCCATTGTGTTCCTGGTTGACCCTGCCTATCCCTTAATGCTGTGGCTCATGAAGTCATACACGGAGCAACTTGACAGCAGCAAGGAGCGGTTCAACAACAGGCTGAGCAAGTGCAGAATGACTGTGGAGTGTGCATTTGGCTGTTTAAAAGCCCACTGCTGATGCCTTTATGGGAAACTGGACATGGCCAATGACAATATTCCTATGCTTATAGCCACGTGCTATACAAGACATAGTATTTGTGAAAGGAAGGGTGAAAGCTTCACTCAGGGCTGGACCACAGAGGCTTAGTGCCTGGAGGTTGAATTTGAACAGCCAGAGACCAGGGCTATTAGAGCGGCACAGCTCAGGGACATAAGGATCAGGGATGCTTTGAGGCAGTAATTTGAAGCTGAAAGCCACTAATATTTGTAGCTAATCTTGGGATTGCAGTGCGTGTAACGCTAGGAGGTGATTAGTGCTTATGATGCAAGAAGGGACCTTAACATAATTGTCTGTTGCTTTGCAATGCTCTTTTTGCTTTCACTTAATAGAATAAAGATTGTTTGAAAGCAATCGCAATTCTTTTATCGAAAGACAACACCCAGAGGAGAGAGTCAAATGAAAAAAAATCATCAGCAGAGAGTTTGATAGGGGAAGGGAAGGTATCAAGAGGAGGAGGGGTCCCAGGATGGCTACAGATTTGTGTATGTCCAGGGATCATACCCAACCTTCTCCTTTGGAGTACGATGCAGTGGGTGCTGGACTTCAGCAGGGCCAAACTGCAGAGGGATGGGTCTTGAGTGCAGTGGGTAGTGGGAGTCCACAGTGCTGGACTGTGAGGAGGGAGGAGTGGAATGCTGCGGATAGAGAATGGAGCCAGGAGGTTGATAGCAGTGTGTTTGGCGGTGCGAGGGGGGGCACATGGGAAAGAGTTTTGCGACAGAAGCTGCAGGGGAGGGCGGGCGTGGAGCTGCTTGGTTTGAAGAGCTAGTACCGCCTGGAGCGTGTCCGCTTGGCGCTTCATAACTGTTAAGAGCTGTTCCGTGGCTTCTTTCTGGTGTGCCGCATTCTCCTTTCGGTCCTTCTTCTTACTGTCCTGCCACTCCTTCAATTCTTTTTTCTCAGCAGCGGAGTGCATCATAACCTCACATATAAAGTCCTCCTTAGTTCTTCTTGGACGTTTTCTAATTCTCTGCAGCCGTTCTGCCGCTGACAACAGAGGGAGGCTGCGTTCCCAAGGTCATCTCTGTGAAGTTTAAATGCAGCATTTTACAGAAACAGTATTGTTTGCAACACAGACAACACTGTTTCAGTGCTTTAAAACACAGCCGGTACTCACACACCTGTCACGAACTAGCTGACCCCAGGCAAGCACACATGAGCTGCAAGACCCCCAAAATGGTGAGTAGCCACAGGGGCAGGGTAAATCACTGTTCCTGGACCCTGCTGTACACTGTGCACATGGCTCTTGAGCACTTGGGGAGAGCCAGCACTGTAGGGTGGGCCTAATAATCATTCCTGTCCTCACACTTTCCACAGGATGTGATCATTATGGAAGACATCCCGCTTCTGAGGGGGAGCAGGGTATCAAGGGAGGGTCTTCTCTAAGCCTGCGGCTTCTGCCCTGTCACCTATGCGGCTAGCCTGTCTGTCACTTTTTGTGGTTTTGCAGTTACATTTTCCGCTTTTAAATTTTTTTCTCACCTTTGTTCTTAAGTGACTCACCCAAATAACAGGGGAAACCCATTAACTAAACTGCCATACACCGAAGTGCTATCAAATGCTCAAGCAATTTGTTCTGTCATCTTGCATTCACGGTCACGGTGTTGCTTGTGGCAATAGCAGATTAAAAAAACGTTCAGACAGAAATGTGACTATTTAAGTTGATAGTCTCTCTCCCACAAAAACTGAAAGTTGTGAGGGTTAAAACTCCACTTCTCACAAGCCCTCCTAACCCTGGAAGAAACCAGAGGGTAGACCTGGTGAGATCCCACACTGGAGTTAGGCTGAGTTGTGAAGCCTCTGACTGGACACGGGGGATGGGGGACGGACAGCCAACAACCCAAAAAGCAGAGTCATAAAACCGCGGTTAGATATAAAAATTAAAGTGAATCCTTTCATGCTCCTTCCTCTTCCTTTTCGTTATTGTTTTATCTCTTCCCGGGAGGTTATTTGCCACTAGTTTTAAGAGCCAGTGTCCTGCACGTACAGACATGCAACTGGGAGTCAGGGTGCAAGAGCGAATCCCACCCGGCTCCCTAGCAGCTGGCTGGGTGGGACCACTTTTCTCTTCCTCGGGAAATTCCGCAGATGGTCTCCCCTGCACCGCTCCTGCCTGTTCCCAAAGACACGGGCATTCCCACTGTAGCACGTAGCTGCAATATGTGAATGCAAGTGACACATACGCACAGAGCTCCCCTCCAACACAAGCCCCTTACACTTGCGCCCTCCTCCTCTCTTTCCTGCCGGATCAGTGTCGCTCCTTGCGACTCCTCCTCCTCCTCCCCCGCCCGGCTAGCTGGGACTCGGAGCCGCCGGGATCTCGGCAGTCTGGCAGACCGGCCCCAGGGCGCAGCGCCCCGCCGGGGGAAGGAGAGGAGGCACGAGGGGCCGAGCGCCCTGCACACCGCTCGCTGCTCCCGAAGATCTCGCAAAGCAGCCGGGAGAGGAGGAGCAGGCACCGTGCGGGGGAGCCGCGGGGATTCCCGGGCTCTTCGGGGAACGGAGAAACTTACTGACTCGCCTTTCCTCTTGCAGCAGGGAGGTAAGAAAGGGGCTGGGGCCGGGACCCCGCCTGTCCCTCCCGGGGGCTCTCTGTCCCTGTGCCTAGCTCTGGGCGGCCCTGTGCCCCACCCGCCTAAGGGATCCTGTCCCTGCCCGGGGTCCTGTGCGGTCCCCGCCCTCTCCCAGCGTTGGCCTCGCCCTTATCCCGGGCTAGGGGCTGCGGGGTCCCTGCTCCCAGCTAGGAGCTTTGTTCCTGTCCCCAGGGGCGCTGGGGTCCCTGTCCCGCCCCCAGGCCCGCCCCGCTGTCCCCCCGGCGCTCCGTGGCGCACGGGGGGCAGCTGGGGGCTGGTTTCTGCGGAGGCGGGTTGCAGGCTGGGAGGCGAGAGGTGAAAGTTAGCGGCAGGCAGGCAGGCAGGCTGGCTGGGCCGCGCCCCCGGGGCTGGAAGCGGCGGGCGTGAGGGGCTGGGCGCGGGCCGTGCGCCAGGCGCAGCTGTGTGGGTGGCTGGCCGGTGGGCCGCGTTTGCGGGAGCTCCCGCGGGGGTGGGGCGGCGCCGCACGCTCTGCAGCCGGCAGCTGAAAACTTTCCCGCTTGTCTCTCCCCCTCTCCAGCTGACGGATGAGTCCCGGCTGCAGCCGCAGCAGCAGCCGAGGCGCCCCCGCTCGCGCTGCGGTCCGGGAGCCCGGGGCCATGGCGTCTCCTCGGTGCCCAGGGATGAGCAGGAGGCAGCAACCTCTGGCTGGCCGCGCAGCTCCCGGACGGCGAGCCGCCTCCCTGGGCCAGGAATAAGTGTCCTGCAGCCGCCCCCGGCCTCTCCGCCACACGCGCCCCCCAGCATGGCTCCCTCGGCCCGGGTCGCTCTCAGGATGGTGCTGGGAAAGGGCCAGGCAATCGGCTGCCCAGCCACCCGCTGAATCGCCCCCGCCTCTCTGAAGAGGGCTGATGCTCCCGCGTAGGCGCCGAGCAGCCCCGGAGTTCGCTTGGGAGCAGGGAAGCAGCCGGAGCGGCTGAGACCTCGCACAGTCACTGCAGGTATGGGAGGTGGTGGGGTGCGGTGGGGTCTTAACCAACCTTCTCCTCCCCCGCCCTCCCTGTCCAGAGAGCCATGTACACGCCGCACCCTCCCAAGTCAGTCAGGCGTGACTTCGGAAGAGAGGCACAGATCTGAGCTCTCCAGGCAGGGAAGACACGGCGTAGGGAGAGCAACTCAGCGCCTGTTCTGCCCGTCCGTGAAACTCTACAAAGCTGGGAAGAAGGAAAGAGAGACACCCCTTCCTTCCACTCACTGCGCTAACCTGGGGCAGGAGAGGGGGGCATGGTGGGAAGACCGAAATACAATTCTCACCCTCCATAAACTCTCTGCCTCCTAAATAGGATCTTTAGCATGGTGGAGGCTGCCGGTCTCCTTGCGGCTGCTACACCCTCCTTTGTTGTGGTCTCACAATTCTGAAATACTTCACAGGCTGCGATCGACTCAGTGGCAGGAGTCGCTAGTGAGGAGTGGAATCAAAACGGTTGTGCTTTCCCCAAGGCTAGTTTGCCTGTTCGTGTTTATTTGTAGAGAACTTTGATTTTTGTTTAGCTTTATGTTTGCTTTGACAGAAATGGTGGTGTACTGATTATTGGTGAGAGACAGATGGAAACTACCAAGGGGACTGTATTGTTTCCTTACATCGATACATAACTGACTACAGTGGACAGAAGCTTATTAGTAACTGTATGTTCCTAAAGGAGACTATAGGTACAGTTTTGAGGGTTAATTGATAATTATTGTGCCTAGGAAGAAATATAAAGTAACAATAGTTACATAGAAGTCAATCCATATGTTGCTCTGCAGAATTGAAAACACTTATCTAGCCAATATTTTAGGATTGAAGAGGTTAATTTTTTCATTCATTATTATGCAGTATGTTGATACAGAATTATTGTATATTCATTTAAGTTCTTGGCGAAGTATATTTTATTCAATAGTTAAATATACAAAATAAGTGTCTTTACTGTTTGAAGAGGAGATAATTCCCTTAATTTGTCCTTTTGGTATAACACCAGTTGCAAAACAACTAGTTGCAAAATGAGAGAGATTTGCATTTTATTACTATGCTTTTAAAGGATGAGGATTATATGGTTCAATAAAATTCTGTTATAATAGGTTTCCTCTTTTGTGATTTACCTTGGTTCTAGATTGACACAGAAGTGATTGTTTTCTTATTTTGCTGTAAATAAAAGGCATTCTCATAAAGTGATAGGAGCCGTATCAATACCTAGAAAGGAAAAAAGCCCCATCAAATTCCCCCTTTCTTTGTTTCTAAAATACTCTACGCAAAATGTAGAAACTTTAAAAGCAGTAAATTATGTTTTCATTGTATAGAAACTGTAGTTGAATAATTTGGAAATACTGCGATGTTGTTCTAAGTTTGGAACATTTTAGTGTATACGTTGCCAGTAGCATTTACTTGTAGCAAAATACTTTGAATATAATTATGGGACAATTAGTCTTTTGACTTTAGCAGAAAACAACACTCCATACGGGCAGATAAGATGCCTTAGATAGATTAGTAATTTGGAGAATAAAATCATATGTAATTTGTAGGTTGTTGGCATAGAAACATATTTTACTTGTTGCTCATTTGTTAGAGTCAGCATGAAAGTGCAATATTGCTAAAGGGATACTGACTCACTGAGTTAAGTGTAGTAAGATTGCTTTACTTGAATAGAAGTGAGCTACAACTGATGATTTTACCCATTATAAATTTGTCAGAATCTAAGGGTTATTTTACTTTCACTGAAAGCTCCATAATCAGATTAAAACAGTCAGGTTTCAGTCCTGCAAGGTACTGAGCAATCCAGGCTTGATCCAGCAAAGCGTTTAACCGTGTACTGACTTGTAATTACACAAGTAGTCCTAGGTTCAATCCCTACTGCTGGCTGTGGTGGGGTTTATTAATTTACATATGTTTGTAGTCCCATTGATTTTAATGCACCTATGTGCTTGTTTATGTGCTTTGGATCATGGCCAGAGTTCCCAGCCCCTTGCAGAATCAAGCCCTAATTCACTGAGGTATGTTTCCATTTCCTTGGATTTACATGGTAATATGACAGAAAATACCTATTGCATACCACAGGAACCAGAATTTGTGGATAAAATGCTCATGGTTCATTCATATGCCTCATAGGAGAAAAAAAAATTAGGGAAAAACAGAAAATCAATAGTTAGTTGAGAGAAAAGATGAGACAAATTTATGGTACAACTAAGGGAGATGACTACTAACTGTAGCTTATTTGTTTGGAACCAAAATCTGAATTTTTTTTACTACAGCAAAATTCCCATTGAAATTGTTTAATCCAGATGAAAGTGTGATATACAAAAAGGGAGACTCAAAGGTTGCTGTCAGGAAAAGTTTACTATTTTAAGATCACTTTATTTTTTGTACAGGAGTCAGTGGGAGTTTTGCTTGAGTAAGGACTGGAGGACTTGGCTGATATGAGAGCTTGATGTGATAGTTAATAGTAATATTTTGGTGTCATACATGTTGTTTTAATCCTTCTGATGTATTTTGTAAGCAGTGCAGTTATTTTATTCAGTAGGGACTCGATCCTGCCCCACTGAAGACACCAGGAGTCTTGCAGTTGACTGCAGTAGAAGCAGAAATGGACCCTAGGTTGCATACATCTCTGGTCTTCCCTGTTAAGATTTGGTTGCTTTTTTGTTTTTGTTTTTAACCAAACAAAGAAAAGAGAGAATAAATAACTGAGCTAACCAGAAAAAAAGTGGGGGGACAAAAGCAAAGATTAATCACCTAACCAGTGTTTACATATTTTAAAATCACTATTTAATATTTATATTATGGCAGGTCCTAATAAGGATTGGAGGGTTGTTGTGCTAGTTTATGTACAAACACACAAAAAAGCATGGCCCTTGCCCCAAAGAGTTCATAATCTAAGGCTCTGGTACTGAAATTAGATCTGTGTGAGTGGATTTGTGTGTCTACATGGAGCTGAATTCTGGGTATTTTATGGGATAGAAAAGAATGGATAGAAATTCTAGTATCCCTATTATTATACAACTCTGATACTTTGTCAGCCACGGTGTCTCATTAACTGGATAACTGACTCTAAATCACTAATAAAAGTTAAAATCCAAAACCATCAGAGTTAGAAATCTGCATATTTCTGAAAGAATAGCGTGCAATTTTTTTTTTTAAACAAAATCAAAACACTATTGATCAAAATCAAAACACCACTGTTATCATCTGGGTGGCTAGTGCATACAATGGGCGCATTCTTTAAGACAGTCAGAAATGTAGCAACTGTCTGAATTCCCTCTGTTAATGAGTACTCTGTATGTCTCATACCTTCTTGTAAAATAAGAAAATATTTAAGAGAAAATTTCAGCTGCTCATTAAGGATGAAATACCCTCTACCCAAATAATGCCCGAGTGATCAGGTTCTTTGCAAGTGGACCACTGAGATGATGTGCAGACCATATTGCTGTATAAAAGGGTTGAGTGCAGATGGCTTTTGACATTATACACAAAAGACAGTCTTTGGAAAATCATGCAATACTGTGGAATACCCGCAAAAATAATTAGAATGATCAAAGACCATATGTTAATACTGGATGTGCAGCCAGAGATGGTGACATCAGCCAATAGTTTGCAGTGACAGTTGGAGGAAGGCAAGGGTGTACTATGTCGTCACTACTGTTTGTACTGGTGACTGAGTATGTCATGAGGAAAATAACAAATGAGGACGCAAATGAGGAATTTTTGGGGCAAACGATAATGCATAGTTGGTTGACCTCCGTTTTGAGGATGATGATGTCCTGTTTAGTTCAACACGTTGCTTAATTGAAGAAAAGATCTAGCTTTTGGCAGATAACAGTGATACAGGTTGGCTTGTTCATCCACAAGGGGAAGACAATATATGGTATCAATGTTCCAAAAGTAACCATTAGAAGAAATGAAGAAACGCTAGAAGTAGTAAATCATTTTATCATCGCTGCACGTCTTACTCTCTAGATAGGTGACACTGCTGCTTTTGATATTTGTTGCTTATCCTCCAGCATAAACTACTTTCATAAACCTGAAAAGATCTGGAAAAGTAGTATGATTGACAGACTCAAAAATATGAATTTTTAATATGAGGATTGTGTTTGTTTTCCTTTATGGAAGAGAGACATGGAAATTACTACAGAAATTGATAAGAATATTTATTCATTCTAAAATAAATGCCTGCAGATGATTTTCAGAGTCCATCCATCAGAAAGTTTCTTGCTACACTGGAAATTCTAGAGCAAACCAATGTAAAATATCAAACATGATATAAAAAAACGTGACAATGGACATATTTAGGATAAACTTTAAGGATTCCACCAGTACAACTTCCGGGGCAATTGATAAGATGGACACTACCTGGAAAGAGAGAAAGAGGGTGACCTAGAGAAACATTATGCAGAATAATAGAGACAGAAACCAGATCTATCAACATGACACTTAGAAGCCTGAACAGACCAGCACAAGACCAAAATAAATGGTGGAAACTGGTGGACGCACTATGCACCTGCAGGAGGAGAAAGAGGAGAAAGAATGCAAGTGGAGTGCAGACTAGGTTGGACGGTTAAATCCTCTTTTACCTGGGATCAATGAGTGAGGATCCTGTAGAGTCTTATTGTGTGCTATGTTTCAGAGTAACAGCCATGTTAGTCTGTATTCGCAAAAAGAAAAGGAATACTTGTGGCACCTTAGAGACTAACCAATTTATTTGAGCATAAGCTTTTGTGAGCTACAGCTCACTTCATCGGATGCATACTGTGGAAAGTTTAGAAGATCTTATATACACACAAAGCATGAAAAAATACCTCCTCCCACCCCACTCTCCTGCTGGTAATAGCTATTGTGTGCTATAGCAGCAGCAGCAGCTCCTCTCACCAGTTGTGCAGGCTGTTGTGTATCCTTCCTCTTTCTTTATATGGAGCATAAGTGGTGTGGAGTACTTTCTGCTAGTCCCCCATGCCTTGGGTGAAATTCACACTA